CACCAATTTGAAGCACACAAGCAGAATGGACTTGAAAGGCACGAATTTGAAGTACACAAGCAGAATGGACTTGAAAGGCACCAATTTGAAGCACACAAGCAGAATGGACTTGAAAGGCACGAATTTGAAGCACACAAGCAGAATGGACTTGAAAGGTACGAATTTGAAGCACACAAGCAGAATGGACTTGAAAGGCACGAATTTGAAGCACACAAGCAGAATGGACTTGAAAGGCACGAATTTGAAGCACACAAGCAGAATGGTCTAAAAGGTACCAATTTAAAGCACACAAGCAGAATGGACTTGAAAGGCACCAATTGAAGTGCACAAGCAGAATGGACTTGAAAGGCACGAATTTGAAGCACACAAGCAGAATGGACTTGCAAGGCACCAATTTGAAGCAGACAAGCAGAATGGGCTTGAAAGGCATGAATTTAAAGCACACAAGCAGAACGGACTTGAAAGGCACGAATTTGAAGCACACAAGCAGAATGGACTTGAAAGGCACAAATTTGAAGCACACAAGCAGAATGGACTTGAAAGGCACCAATTTGAAGTACACAAGGCAGAATGGACTTGAAAGGCACGAATTTGAAGTACACAAGCAGAATGGACTTGAAAGGCACGAATTTGAAGCACAAGCAGAATGGACTTGAAAGGCACCAATTTGAAGCACACAAGCAGAATGGACTTGAAAGGCACCAATTTGAAGCACACAAGCAGAATGGACTTGAAAGGCACCAATTTGAAGCACACAAGCAGAATGGACTTGAAAGGCACCAATTTGAAGTGCACAAGCAGAACGGACTTGACCCAAAGTTGAAAGGCACCAATTTGAAGCACACAAGCAGAATTGAAAGGCACCAATTTGAAGCACACAAGCAGAATGGACTTGACAGGCACCAATTTGAAGCACACAAGCAGAATGGACTTGACAGGCACTAATTTGAAGCACACAAGGCAGAGTGGACTTGAAAGGCACCAATTTGAAGTGCACAAGCAGAATGGACTTGAAAGGCACCAATTTGAAGCAGACAAGCAGAATGGACTTTGAAAGGCACCAATTTGAAGCACACAAGCAGAATGGACTTGAAAGGCACCAATTTGAAGTGCACAAGCAGAATTTGAAAGCACACAAGCAGAATGGAATTGAAAGGCAAGCACACAAGCAATTGAAAGGCACCAATTTGAAGCTCACAAGCAGAATGGACTTGAAAGGCACCAATTTGAAGTACACAAGGCAGAATGGACTTGAAAGGCACGAATTGAAGTGCACAAGCAAGAATGGACTCAGCCATTTCCGCACACAAGCAGAATGGACTTGAAAGGCCCCAATTTTCGCACACAAATTGAATGGCACCAATTTGAAGCACACAAGCAGGATGGAATTGAAAGGCACCAATTTGAAGCACACAACAGAATGGACTTGAAAAGGCACCAATTTGAAGCACACAAGCAGAATGGACCAATTTGAAGTGCACAAGCAGATTGGAGGTCTTTTAAGCCGAGCCAGTTGGAGAGCTGTGATACGTTTTCCACTTTGGCTCAAGTGACGAGCACTGGTGTCAGTGCTGCAAGCCAAAACAGAAGTGTTGTCCGAGTGTCTGAGCTTGCTTGGTTGGACTTGTGTGAGTGGTTGTCTCCTTGGTGCCTTGCTTGGCATCTTGGGTTTTTAACGTCTCAGACCTGCATTGTGTTGGAGTTTTGATTACGAGCAAATTTTCGCGGCCAAATGGCCGAAGATCGTTGTGTCCTAGGCCTCTCAGCCCTGCCGATTCTTCAGTTTTGGGTCGAGTCCGTACGCCCAACACCCTTCGAGTTTTGAATCAGCTCTGAGTACGACGATCTCTGGTGGGGTCTAGAGACGGCAGCATAAGAGAGAGCCTGCCCCGACGATTACTCCGGGAGCTCGATATGGTCCGCCAGCAGCCAATCAGGATCGCTCAGCAATGCAGGCCACACCACATGCTCCGGGTCCTTGCCGATAACCACCTGGCGGATTGTGAGGCCGGGGGCCCAGGGGAACTGCGTGCGTCCGAGCCCTTGAAGGCGGTAAAGTGGGCACGCGATGATTGCCCCGCACCGAGTAGCACATCCGAAGGTGGTGCTGAAAGGTCTCTACGTCCTTTCGTCCGCCATAGACTAAAATTCGTGTCTCCCCGCCCGTGGGGGCTGGCAGCAAAGAAGGCAGCCTAATGGGGCCCATGCAAACACAAGCCCGGAAGGTCGCATGGGCCTCGGAAATTGCAATCTGGTAGGTGATGGTTCCTCCAGAGCCAAGGCCCATGAGATATGTGGGCAAGGAGATGCGAGGGCTCGCATCACGTTGGACGGCCAGTAGGAGCGGTAGAATTTCCATTGTATACACTGCCTTGGTCCAGGCAGCACCGTCAGGCAGCATCCAGGCAGGCGGTGAGCCTGCTTGTCCCGCCACAGGCCATGCGCAGGCAATGACGGCCTTTTTGAAAGCCAGGTTGCTCCACAGATACTCGATGGCCCCTTGCCAAGGCAGTGGGTGCATATTCTCCACATAGAAATGTCCACAACCAGGGAGGAGAAGCACTATCGAGTTGGCTTCCCCTGCATCCGCACTCGGCCGGGATACAACAAAGGGAAGGGTTGAACTGCCATGGCTCGCCGTAATCCAGGTGTTTTCACGCCCAGCTGCGAGCGGAGGGGCGACCATGGAGGAGGCTGCAGGTTCTTCCAAGGGGCTCTTGCAATGCCATGGCGAAGAAGAGGCAGCCTACCCAATTGATGGGGCAAGGTAGAGGAAGACTGGGCAGTCTTGCCTGAGAGCCGTGCCGTCCAGCGCAAAGAATGTCACACAACAACAAGCTTGCTCCCAACTTCCCCTGACTCAGCTCCCTTCAGTTGGAGACTACATCAGCAGTATAACATGATCAATGGTTACAACTTTCCAAATCGGTCAACAACAACCACTTCTGCAATAATAACAATTTAGATTCTACTTAGCGGCCTGAAAGAGCTGAGAGCCAAGACATGAACCCTTGAGACTAAAGCCATTTAACGTCTTTCGGTCTGGCACTTTATGCAATATGTTCAAACTTGGACCACTAAACCCAAAGTAGAATAAGTGGGACCACCAAGTTCAGAAAACCTTTAAAGGAAAATTTCTTCCGCAGTTTTTTTTGGGACCCGTGGGTTTAGGATTAATTGTAAAACCCCAAACTCTAAACCCCTAAAACGCCCTAAACCCCAAAACCAAAACCGCTCTAAACCCTTAGCCTAAGTCCTGCTATTTTGCGCACTGCCGGTTCAAGGGAAAGAAGTTAGTCGCTTTAATAACCAAGACAAATGAACAGCAAGAACTGTTTCGCGCTAGAAGGGGTTTAGGGAAGTTTCAGGGCTGGGATGGTTTTCTTTCGAGAGGAGTATGGGGGTGTAGGGTTTAGGGTATTGGGGTCTAGGGTCTAGGTTTAGGGTTTAGGGTTCAGGGTTTAGGGCTTAGTTCATGCTACTCCCGCCCGCCCCAAGCTCGCAAGGGTCATGCTTCCCCCGGATTTTGTTTTTCTCCGGCACGCCATCAGCGTCCATGTACATATGTATATACTTGGGCCATACAGCATATTATATTATAATATAAATATATTATATGATATTCCATTATATTATATTATATGATATTATATTGGATTATGTTATATCCTATATTATATTACATATTATATTATATTATATTATATTCTATTATATTATATTATATTATATTATATTATATGACATTATATTTTATTATATTATATTATATTATATTATATTATATTATATTATATTATATTAATGTATGAACCTCTTGAAGCATAGCCACAAACAAGTAGTTTTCTTATAGGAACCCCCCTCCAAAGAAAGGTAACCCCTCCCCTCGCCCCCCCCCCCCTCCCCCCGCCCGAAGACCTGCAGCTCATGACAGGAGGTTTTGCCAGTTTGCTTGCCGCTGTCGTTTAGAGATCCTGCAGAAACAAAGAAGCTCACCACATCTGAGGAGGCCACGTCCGTTCAGACATTGCCCGGGCGGGTGGGCTGGGAACAAAAAGATTTAGGCCTTAGCACCTTCAGGCGTGGCCCTGGACAACAAGTTGATGTGAGCTTGGGCCCAACGGTTACACAGTTGATGCCTTGCTGCGCCCTGCTCACTGAAGTTTTGGCGATGGAACTTCCCTGATTTGGGACGCTCATGTTCAACAATACACCCTCATTGTTGAGAGTGTCGCTCTACGCAAGTCCTCTGAAGACCTGCAGCTCATGACAGGAGGTTTTGCCAGTTTGCTTGCCGCTGTCGTTTAGAGATCCTGCAGAAACAAAGAAGCTCACCACATCTGAGGAGGCCACGTCCGTTCAGACATTGCCCGGGCGGGTGGGCTGGGAACAAAAAGATTTAGGCCTTAGCACCTTCAGGCGTGGCCCTGGACAACAAGTTGATGTGAGCTTGGGCCCAACGGTTACACAGTTGATGCCTTGCTGCGCCCTGCTCACTGAAGTTTTGGCGATGGAACTTCCCTGATTTGGGACGCTCACGTTCAACAATACACCCTCATTGTTGAGAGTGTCGCTCTACGCAAGTCCTCTGAAGACCTGCAGCTCATGACAGGAGGTTTTGCCAGTTTGCTTGCCGCTGTCGTTTAGAGATCCTGCAGAAACAAAGAAGCTCACCACATCTGAGGAGGCCACGTCCGTTCAGACATTGCCCAAAACCCCGCACTGGCAGCGTACTTTGCTGCCGAAACAAGATACTCTGGCAGCCAGTCTGGCACAGGTTCACAAAATGAGCTACAGGCATCCTTGAAATAGAAAGAATGAATTCAAAACACGTACACGAGTGGAGCAGATCGTGTGACCCCTACCGCAAAACACAGCAACAAGGCTTCTCCAGCAGCCTGTCAAAGACCACCACCCCGCAAGGAAGGGGCAGCAGCTTGCTTCATGCCCGGTGCTTTGCGGCGGAGAGTCAGCGGCAAGGAGCTGTACAAGGCGGAGGCTCACACCAGTTGCTGCAGGCTTGACAGAAGGCGGCGCTTGACGCTGGTCCTTTTACAGAACCGGTCGCTTCTTGGCTTGTTCCGTTTTCCGCGAGACGGTGCATCAGCAGGGTTAGACTCGCTAGGGATATACACTGCTCGCGGAAGAAGGTTTGCGGCCATGGAAACTGCCGCTACGGATCGCAAAGCATGCCGCAAGGCCTTTGCAGAGCTGCGTCCTTTGGTCACAGCCCCCACAACCACTTTGGCGTCTACCAGCAGCGGTACTTTGCTGCCGTGCTTGGCCGCGTGGCGTGCGACCCATCTCAGCGCGAGCAAGTAAGCATGGGCCTCCAAGACGCCAGAGTGCGCAGGCCACTTTGCTTTGGAACTGATGACGGTCTTGAAGTCCTTCTCAGTGGCTGAAAGCCTTCTTGGCACACCCAAACGAGGAACTTCAACGGGATCATCTGGACTAGTGGTGAGGCGCACGTAATCGCCACGCCTCTCGCGAAGCCACAGATTTCCACTGCCTCCTTCCTGCTGCAAGAAGCCACGGACACTCCAAAGCCGAACTGCGGGGCAGCATCAGTCGCCACGAGTTGCTGCAGCGGCTGTCTGTCCAAGTCGACGGAGAGAAGCGGGGCAAGAAGCAGAGTAACAAGCATCTCGTTCAAAGCTGCTTCCGGCACCCTGGTCAACTCAGTAGCCGGCTCTTTGCGCGCAAAAGAGTACACCCCATCGTAGATGCTGAAGAAACCTCTCTGCAGAAGCGCAAACCATTCCCACACGCCCAGCAAGGAATGGCATGCTTTCGGACTGGCAAAGTCCGCACGCAAGAGGCCGAGCGTTCTGCACACGGCTTGGGCTATCTTGGCTCGGCTCTTACCGTCCCAGGACAGCTAGGAGGGATGCGCGGAGTGCGTTCCCCAAGCGATCCGTCCACCTTGCTGCCCCGACCCAAGTCCGCAGTCAACCGGGGTTGCCGCGCTGAAGTAGAAGAGCTGGGCAAAGGCAGCAAAGGCGAAACGGAAGCCGGAGTACTTGCAGCTGCGCACCCCTCGACAGGCTTGGTGGCGGGAGTGCTCGACAAATCGCACCCAAGAGCGGAGATTTCATTTGCCAGAGAAACGTCCTTTGCCACGTTTCTCGGCACGCCATGCTCGGCGAAAGCGGCGTCAAGGTTAGCAAGCGTGCGTTGGCCCCTGGTTTTGCTAGTGTGCAGTAAAACGGTGTCGTCAGTCGCCACAAAGCAGAGCTCATCCTGCTTCACGGGCACGTCATGGTCGAGCGAGAGGATGCTTTCCTCTGCAATGCCCGCAGAAGCGCACACCGCGAGCGTGGTGTCTTGCGCCACCGCGCTCGACCAAGCAAAACCCATTGGCCAAACTGCGTGCACCGGGTAAAGGTGGCCACTCACGTCAGCGTTCACAGAGTCGTCACAGGCTTTGGCGATGGCATCGCGTGTCATCCCATGCTCCAGAAGCTCCTGGGCTGTCACTGCGGGCTGCCCAAAAAAGGGCTGCAGCACTTCAGGGGCCTGCAAGGTGTCAAGGAAGGTTGATGCATCACGCTTCGAGAAGAACACCTGTTGTCCGACGTCGAACTGCACATCCAGGAAAGAGGATGGGTTGGCGAGCCGTCTGGGCTTCGGCGGGGCAGCTGCCATCTGAGAAAGGCCAGCCCCGTCCCATATCTTGCGCTGTCTGCCGCCTCGCTTTCCGACAGCGAACACTCCGCCCATTCCGCACACTTGCCGACGCAGACGCAGCTTGCCACATTCCAACTCTCTGCAGGTAAGTTTGAGGTACTCGCTTCTCTTATTCTGGGGAACAGTTAAGTGAGCAGAAACCACACCTGCTGGGAAAATGCAAGAAGCATCTGCAATTTGACTTGAAAGGCACTTGGAAATGATTCCGCTGGGGTCGCAAGAAGCTGCCTGCGCAGGCAAGTCCACCCTGTCGCTGCAAATGTCCTCATAGCTTGGGGTCGCCGAGACTTCGCACTGCTGGAAGCTTCTTTGCCAGGGAAGAGCGTTTCCCAACTCCTGAACAAGCCGGCCCAAAAAACGAACCACCTTGCTGCAGATGTGTCGTTGCGAGGTCTGCTGAGCAGTTGAGGGGAACTTGTTCATTGCACCTCCAGAAAGAGCTGGCCTGAAGCCAGAATACAGAAAGTTCAATGCGCCTATGCACATATTGCTCACTTGCAGACACACGTCGGTCTCCATCTCCATCACCGAAACACACCGCGGCCAGACAGCCAAACGAGGAATAGGGAACAGGTCCCTGCACCTGCCTCCGCACATGCGTTTGGGACTCATCCAATCTCGAAAAAAGCAGGCCACTGGGAGGCAAGAAATTGCAAGAAGGCTTTGCAGCTGGTCTCTGAGTAAGCTAGCGGCAGTCTCTCGTGGCCTGCTCACATCTTCAAGCAGATCGGGCTGACGCCTGCGTTCCAGGAACTTGCGTAAATTCTGCTTCAGCTTGAGACTGGAGGCCCGCCACTGATTTCGTCGGGTTCTGGCAGGCGGCCGAAGGAAAAGGGCGACCTGGTTAAAATGAACGCGGCTTACGATTCTCCTCGTGGCGTGTGCCACCTGCTGTGCCTCCAAACCAATCACCTCGCATGTCGAGCATTGAGACAGGCACCTGTGACTGATCGCCATGAAAACAAGCCTTCTCAAAAGCTGCAAAGCTTCCACCTGTTCCCTGCAATCAGTGTACGGACACAGAAAACTGAACTCTGTTGCATGTGCCGGGCCTGCTTGTTCGGCTGTCTCCCAGCCGTCACCGTTGTGAGACCACTGGTTCCATGACCAGTGCCACCACTGGCAAGCAACTCTTCATGAAGTTACCATGACGTGTCCCACCACTGGCAAGCCACTCTTCATGACGTTTAGGGCTTCAGGGTTTATAGAACCTGCCCTCATCCAGCAATCTTCTACAGAGCAGAATAGGAGAGCTTCCGCATTGTGAGGGATGTCGGCTGCTTGAACGGTGCAAACATCCCCTTCTCTCTCGCACACACAGCTACACACACACACATAGCCATCAACAAAATGCATGAATGCATGCGTATGTATATATATATACACACATATAAATATGCGCAAGTAGGTATATGTACATACATTATGCGTATGAGTAGTAACCAGCCGGGCGCCGGCCTCCGCTTCGCTCCAGCAGTGCTCTGCTAACCTCAGTTCCGCTCTACTCACACTCCCCTTCCCCCTTCTTCCCCCTTCTCCCCCCTGCCCCTCCCCCCCCTTCTCCCCCCCCTCCCCCATATGGGCAAGCTCGGAAAAGACATAGACGGACCGAGCGGACGGACGGACGCGCCGTGCGGATGCGCCGTGCGGACACACACACACACACACAAATGCCAAGGATGATGACGGTGCAGTGCTTGTCCAGGGCCCAGGGCATGGTAAGAGAAACGCGTACGTGCCTCCACACATGACAAACAGTGACGACATGATGTTTCAGCCTCGTCAGCAGTGATATCGAACTAGATCCATAATACGAGTCGCAATCGGAACCCAAGGTCGACCACCTCTGTTCTGCCATTCTGGCTCGCTGCACAGGAGCGTGCGGAATTAGACTCCCACGGCATTTGCGAGGCTTCAGCGTTGCGAGGTTTCGTGCGGAATTAGACTCTTACGAGATTTGCGAGGTTTTGGAGCCTGCGGAAGGAGACTCCCACGAGATTTGCGAGGTTTTGGAGCGTTAGACTCTCATGCTGTTTGCGAGGTTTTGGAGCATTCGAGGGTTGCGAGGTTTTGGGGCGACTTTGCCCGCGCCCACAACACCCGGGTCCTCTCGAGTACTACGATTGTACTACAAGAAGACGATCTTTGCGCGGCGGCTTCCAGGTTTTGGGGCGACTTTGCACGCGCCCACAACATCCGGTCCTGTAGAGCACTACGTTTGTGCTACAGGAAGACGATATTTGCGCGGTTGCGGGCGTCAAACCTCTGGGTCCTATAGAGTACCGGCATTTGCGAGGTTTTGGAGCGTGCGGAGTACCGTTTCCATGAGATTTGCGAGGTTTCGGAGTGCTAGATTTTGGGGTGACTTTGCGCGTGCCCACAACACCCAGGTCCTATAGAGTACTACGTTTGTACTACGGGAAGACGATATTTGCGAGGTTTGTCGGAGGTTGCCAGGTTTTGGGGCGACTTTGCGCTCGCCCACACCCACGGGTCCTATAGAGCGGTTCCTAAAAACGGCTTGATGCTTCAGAGGGCTTAGGGTTTAGGGTTTAAGGTTTAGGGTTTAGGGTTTAGGGTTTAGGGTTTAGGGTTTAGGGTTTAGGGTGGTTCCAGTTTCCAAGCTTAAGCCTAGGCTCAAGCTCTTGCAGGAGCATCGGGAAATGCAGGGTTGATGGCTACTGGGCTCTGGAGTTCTGGAGTTCGCGAATCTTAATCTGCGGGGTTCACGGGAGGGTTGTAGGAGTGTTGTAGGGCTCCGGCCTCTAGATTCGAGGCTTGAAGGTCTGGTTTTCTTGAAAGGTTGAAGCTTTCAGAAGATTCTGGGGCTTGATGCGTTTGTGCGTTGTTGGTGAACAGACTGAGTAGACAGCCATGCGCGACCGCGCTCATCCTGGAAATCCTCAGTCCAATGCTCGCGGGGCGGTTGCGTGCGGATGGCTATCCAAGACTGCCATGTAGGGTTTCGGGTTTAGGGTTTAGGGGTTTAGGTTTCAGGCTTTAGGGTTTAGGGTTTTTCCTGGTTGGCCTTCTTCAATGCCAAACCCGACAAATCAGTGACCACTGAGGGCCTGGCAGAGGAGAACATGCCGTCGCAGCAAAGTATGGGCTCACATGAGCGACTGCCACGGCTGGTGGTGTTAACGGACGCAGCATGAGGGGTGTCGCTCTCAAGTGTTCCCATCGTTTTACAGGGTTTTAGCATCAGTTATCCACGCTTGATGTCTGCAGGTGTCGCTTTGGGAAAAATTCAAGGCTATAGCCCACCCAACGGCTCATGAATTTAGAGGTTTTTTCAAGTGTTCCCATCGCATGTCAGTAGGTAAGCTTGAGCCAGTCACGGACGTCAACATGGCCAGGGGAAGCCTGGTGGCCTCACGAATGTAGTCCTCTCATTTGTCGGCTTTTTTCCGCTCAGCATTGCGTCAGCGGAGTTCATACTAGTAATAGCCTTGTCAGATGATGATCTCGGGGCCGAAGGCCTGGGAAAGCTCTGGGTAGTTGGGGAGGGCGCATGCGCTATGCAATAGCATGCAATAGCGTGCAATAGCATGCAATGGTGCAGAATATGGTGCATTGCCATTCTCTCGGTACTTGAACCTACTTTTTGCCTGCAACTTGCAGTTGCCCCCATGCTGAACGAATTACTAACGAAACCCACAGGCAGGCCTTTGGCCGCTTCCTTTCAAGCAGAATCCTCGCGCCATGCAACTGGCACTGCACCAACGGCAAAAAGTTCGGGCGGCGGGTAGTCACAAGAAATGGCAAGATAGCGACTGCAAATCGCACCGATTGGCATCTGCTTGGCTCCTTGAGCTTCGCTGCCTCCAATTGTGCCGTCGCCGTGGTCACCTGCGGTGACAACTTGGCGAACAGAGAGCAAGGATAACAAATATTTCAGGCAAGCTAATGCAGACACTTCGATGCCGGGTAGTATAGAGAAGGCGGCCTTTTGTGCACGTGCCTCCCGCTCAGGTGCACCTGCAGACAGCAAGTGATCTCAAGCACTCGATTGCATGCGATTCCTCTCAGGGGACAAGTGCCGGTCGAACTGATTTGAACTTGAGCCTTTATCCCGCCGACCGTCAGAAGCTGTTGTGCAGCTGCACGGCGGTCTCGCTGAGCCATGTCACTTTTGAGCAAACACTTCAGATCTTCAGGCACCACCTTAAATCTTCTGCGTTGCAATCACGTTGGGCCTGCACCCCTGCAATACTATGGTGTGGCACGGTGTTGCGCTCTTTGGAGCGGTTTGCTCAGCATCATGACAGCTTTCTCCGCCCCTTATTGCGTGCTTGCACTGAGTGCCGCATATCGCCTGTTTGCTTCGCACGCCTCGTGCGGAGTATGCGCTGCTCGAGTGGACTCGCGTGTCAGTGATTGCTACCGAGTCTGGGGTCAATGGACACGTCATCAGGTCCAGGACGGCCTGCGCACTTGGTGGTGGCGTCCTCAGCACCCGCCTATGCAGGTCTTGCCGGCGGAGTTGAGAGGGAGCACTTTTTAGCCTTCTCCTGGTGAAATTACGAGATCGCCGCGCGCGCGATCGTCAAGCGGCACGCTATCATCCACGCCAATGTCCCAGAGCTGCGACATGCTGCGAAATTGTTGCGACATGCTGCGACCTACTGCGACACGCTCGGAAAGCAAAGTATTCGTGGATGTGGATGCGTGGATATGCTTTTGAGTTTTTTTCGGGCCTTTGGGGTGAGGAACATGAGAGGCACGTGGCGACCACAAAGACATGGAGCAGAGGAGTGCAAATCGGATTTTGCACTGAACATCTCACTGAGCTGGTCGAGGCCTCGCGGGCAGCGGGCACTCTGTAGGTTCGTAATACTGTGTTCCGTGGTGGTATCTCTGTGAAAGTGGTGCATGCCTCTTCTGAAGCTCATCCTCCGCCTGCCAGCGCACAAAGCTTTCACAGGCACTGCTTTGCCACAAGCAACAGGCTCTGCAACAGACGATGCAACCCTGCAATCACCAGCCCAACATCAACAGCCTGCTGGATTGCCCCCTCAAAAGGATCAGGCCTTGCTCCCCAAGCCTTCGAAAGAATGAAACAACAACCCTGAACCCTAAACCTTATATGTAGATCTATATACATGTGCGCGTATACATATATATATATATATATATATTTGTTTTTTGTTTTTAACGTTTTGCTTTAATTCTTGTTTAACCAGCTTCCTCGGTGAGCTCCTGAGACGTGTTTGCTCCCGAGGGATCTGGCGCCAGAGGCTGCGGTATTTTGGGGCGTTTAGGCTTTCCGACATGTATAAGTTCGCCTCTCGGCTTCTGGCCGAGGGGCGTCCGGAACACGCCAACCAGGATCTGCTCTCCTTCCCCCCGTCCTCTGGGACTGGGACCCCTCGGCACGGCCCTGGGACCGAAAGACCATCCTGGGATGCCCCTATAGGACTGAAACCCCCCGAAGCCCTCCTGCCTCCTGAACTCATCACGTGCGTGGTGCTGCACCACGTGACATATGACTTTTGTTCGCCAAAGAAATACATTCTACCTGCGGCAGTGTGTCCCCTCCAGGAGCTGCGCCCCTCATTGGGCCGGCCCGGCTGCCGAGGCAGCACGCGCAAGCAAAAGTTGACAAGTTGTGTATAGATACATATATACGTATATTATAATATATATATATATATATGCTCCCCCCTGGATCCATGGTTTTCTGGCGCATCTAACAGCAGGAGAGCAGTGCGTGAGCGGAATGTCTTATAGGGGTTGCCTGTGAATCTAAACTTCTAGTCAATCAAGTTCAATTACAAACGAAGCGCAAACGAGGATTTCTCAGGGTGTGGCCTTAGAATCCAAAATTCCAAATGTGGTCTTTATTATGAGTTAACTAGATGTAATTACCACACAAAAGGATGTCTTGGGCTGGGGCAGTTAATGTACTTACTTGCTATTGTTGGGTTTACTCACGAACGAAGTCCACATGAGAATTTCTTTGTATGCGGCTTGGGTTTAGGGTTTAGGGTTTAGGGT